AACTTGTTTAACCTTTCACAAAAAAATGTGCAGTTGTATAAGTTTAGTGCGGCTTACCGCTTGAAGGCAAGCCGTAAACACTCTTCTAGAAACTGTAGGCTACCTTAGTGCACTTAGTAGCAACTTTAGGGTTCTAAGGCAGCTGTCTGTAGGGCTCACTGTGTAATGTGCCTTCTACGTCTCTAAGGCCCTATTCCACACAGATTAGGCCAAGAGATCCAAAATCCTTCAGTTAGCTAAGCCTTGAAAAAGACCATCGTGGCTACTTTTAGGAATCCTGGTGCAAGCCATCATGCACCTAATTACACTAGGGCAGCTCGACTCATCCACATTTAGATATTTGGAGTGTAAGTTTATCCTCCCGCATTGGAGAGCAAACCCATGTAGATGTCGAAGAATTGGTTTACCCTCTCACACTAGAGAGCATGGTTGGTCCCCAAGGGGTTCAATTCATGTGATAAGTCCTTAAGAAGGGTGCGGTTTTCCTTTGAAGTGCACAAGTGATCATTTATTGTAAGCATACAGCCGAGCCAAGTTGTAAATTACTTCTGAATTCCTCATTGAAAAATGAGTGAAACAAACAAAAACTTAGCTATAAGGTAGGAACTACATAACAACTGGATAATCATCGGCTTGCGAGGTAGTGCCCGTCGAGCTGCTTGAGTCTTCAGGCTTTGATGTAGCTGGAGGTTTACTCATGGAAGTTCCTTATATTGTAAGAGTTCCACTGCTTTTTTATATATTTTTCGTTCATGGTGGTAAGGGTGTAACTACCCTTGTCGCCTATTCTGTTGATCTTGTACGGACCTTCCCAGATATGATCCATCTTTTTAGAGCCTTCTCTGCAGGCAGTGAACAAGGCTTTTCGTAGGATTAGATATCGGGGTTGGAACTACATGATATTGGCCCTTTTGTTGTAGCTGGAGAGGCGTTGCTATTGGTAGGCTGCGATGCGGGTGATGAGATTCTCGTGTTTCTCCTCTGCCAAATCTAAGTTTGTGGCCATCTCATTTCTGTTCTGCTCGATGCTTGGCAATAGAGTGCTGATACTTGGAATGATGACATTGGGAGGAATGATTGCTTATAAACCAAATGCCAAAGAGAAAGGAGTATCATCGGTTACTCGTTGTTTGGTTGTGACATACGCCCATGGACATCTGGGGAGTTCGTCTAGCCATTTTCCCTTCTTGTCAGAGAGGGATTTCTTAAGGCAGTCGAGAATCAGGCGAATGATTCCCCTTGCAGGCCTGGCCGCAAATGAACATTTTGCCTGGAAGATTGCTCATGTTAATTATCGGAGTGTGGCCCCAATCGTGAATGTATGCTCATTCGTGGCCCTAACCGATAGTGCACACTCATACGTGCGCTAAGATGAGAGTATATGCTATCTCGATGGCTTAATCGGGAGTGTACACTACCAGAACGCTCAGTTTGCCACTGGTCGAGTGGTTACTTGCTGGGACACTGTTGGAGAGGTTTATTGTCTGTCCTTATCCTACTTCGGGGACACCTCGTTTAGGGCACACTACAGCTCAGTATGCTGCAAGAGTTGATTAACCAAGGTTGTCTGCTGCGCAAGAGTGCTTGTCAAACTCTATGACTTGTCAAGACAAGTGTTGTTCGCCATTTGGGTTGGAAGAGCTTAAACGACATTTGTCTCAATAAGTGGTGGAAGTGTAATGAACTCTGGGCGTGAGATTTGAGCTAAAATAGGCCAAATCTACATAAAATAGGTTAAAACATTGAAAAAAAGGGTCCAAATCACCAAAAAATGAGTTGACCCAGGCGCAAAGAGGCACAGATATGGGTCAGGGGGCTCGGGCGCGGCTCTGGAGCACAGGTCAACCCTCTGGGCTATTGCAATGCGTGCGGATTGGGCCTAAGAAGCTGCTGAAATGGGCTGCTTCCACGTGGGTTGCTGCTTCAGCCGTTGTTGGGCTCGTGCGTGGAGAGGTCTGCTGCGCCTAGAGCTTGGGCTCCTGATTTGGAAAGCTAGACTCACTGGAAATGTTTTCACCTGCTTTTGTTTGAGATCAGCATCTTGGGCCTACAAGTGGGCTCCTAGATCATTGATTTCCGATTGGGCAGCAAGGGCTGCATGGTTAGAAATAGCCTAGGAGGCTTGCTGCTACACGTTGCCTCCATGTGGGCCGTTGTTGGTAGCGATGGTGGCTGTCATTCCTCCATTCATCGGTCCTTCGTGTAGGTGAAAAATCCATTGAGAGTACCGTTCGTTGTGGTTCCAAAATTATTCGCCATCGTATTTCTTCCCCGGGGCTATTTCAAAGAATTTATAAAAAAATTCTAAGAATTGGAACATTTGGGAAAATCTATGAATGAACGAAAAATTAGAAATGTTGAATGCGAAAGTCTTTTTTCGAGCGTTGGAATCAAAACTCTCAATGAAAACACCTATTTGTGGATGCAAAATTCCGCATTCTTCTCATTTGATGAAAATGCACCTGCAAAATAATAACACCTAAAATCAAGGCCAAGAGCCTTACGCGTCCACGATAAATGAGGAGGCTTTAGCCGAAGAATCTCTGATGCCAAAGTTAGAATTTGAGAGAAAAAGTGTTTAGAAAATTTTAGGGAGAGAAATGAACTTGCATTTTGGTGTGAAGATGGAGCTATATATAGGGGTGTGGCCAGCCCTATTTGGAGAAATAGGGACCGGCCACTTATAGTGGTATTTTGAATATAATTGCAAGACATTATGTCAGATACTATATTGCAATTAATTTGGTAATTAGTCCTAATTTGAAAAGAATAATTGGGAATTACCTTGTGGGTGATGATTTGATGAGGAGTCATGAGAGAGTTTGATTAAATACCATTTGGATCACCTTTGACCTTGATTGAGCCGTTATTGTTTGTTGCATGCGCATGGGAATCCCGGTGTGCCTCAAGGGTAATTTTATCTTTTTATCCAAAAGTCCAGGTGTCGCCTCTATAATTTTCTTGATAATTTTTTGCTCCACAATCATCTGTTTATATCATTATTTGTATCATTTCTCTAATAGAGGTATGGTCTACCAATTGTTGCACTTCTTTCAGAATGTGCTTTTTGCCCAAAAGTTCATGTGTCGCCTCCATAATTTTCTTGATAATTTTTTGTTCCACAATCATCTATTTATATCATTATTTGTATCATTTCTCTAATAGAAGTATGGTTTACCAACTATTGCACTTCTTTCAGAAGGTGTGTGCTCTCATGGGTTTTAGGTTGTTCACTTGCGAGTTCTTCTTTTCACCAACATTGACCTTGTTTGACTACAAAATCTGCAACAAAGCAAAAATGGAGTTGAACAATAGTCAAGCTCCCAAGAGATACTACTTGTTGGGTGATAGAGATTTTACCACCTGTAAAACAAGGGTTAAACCATAGAAAATTCTTGCAAGAGAACAAGTGTTGTAGTATAGAATAGCTCAAGCAAGGTCGATCTCCTCAGGGACTGGTATAAACAATTTACGAGTTTTTGGATTACTTAACTTAATTAACTCTAAGAACTACACTAATTTGACAAAACTTAATCCTATTGTACGTAACTTAAACAAATATATAAAATGGGAATTGGCTTACAAAAATAATGATTCAACTAAATAAAACAAGTAAATGTAGAAACTCAAGATAAAAAAAAAAAAAAAAAAATATATATATATATATATATATATATATAAAGAGTTGAAGAAAATTAGATTGACAAGGCACTAGAGTTTGACATTTATCAACAACACTCCTACGTAGCTCTTCCAATTGCTTAAGTAATCGAAAACACATGCTTTGAAGGTTGGGTTTTTTCTTATGTAGTTTTACTTGTGACATTCAAGCTAAAACGCATGCCACCACATGCAATTCATCCATGACATTTGGATTAAATATAAACATGTGTGATTCATTAATCTTGGTGAAAATCCTTTTGATAAACCATGTAATCCCTAGGAGTATGATATTTACCTTAGGACAAATTACAATTCTCAATCACAAAAAGCATAGCCAATTTTAAGGTGAAATTCATTCAAAATTGCATTCGATGACTTTTCTAAGTATCCTAATGATGATCAAGCATCAAGGCACATAGATAGTTAAATTCAATGATTGAAAATATCAAAATAAGCGTGTAACAACACTTAAACAATCTATGTAACCATATTAAGGCTCATAGCCTTATTTTAGCAAAAGAAAATTAGTTACACATATTTGTTTTAATACATAAGGAATTATCCATTAAAAATCAAAGAAATAAAACAACCCTGTTTTACAAGATGAGCTCTCTGATCATCTTCTCCTCAAAGAGAGGAGCATGCTTCTTCTTCTCTTCAAATTTAGAGCTGCGGCACCCCTTCCATTTTCTGCTCTCTGCTCTCCCTCTGTTTTCTTTTCCGCACTCTCCGGAAGAAACTCCAATCCGTCTATTCCTCTTCTGCCAACTCCCACAACAACTCCTTTCTTTTTCTGCTCCACTTGCTCTCAACTTTCTCTAACCTGTCCGTGTCACTCCCCCCATTCTTTTTTCTCTAATTTGTCCGTTGCCTTTAACAGAGGGCAAGTTCCCACCATTCCACTACTAATCCTATTTCACTGTCCTTTTTCAGCATTAAATAAGAAAAACTAATAAAAATAATTTGAAATTTTTGAGTTTTAATGATAATAATAAAATAAAAAGTAAAGTAAATAGTATTAAGATTAATTTTTTAATTTAAAAATATGATTTTTCGTTAAAGTAAATAATACCGTAAACATTTTATTAAAACTTTCTGCTAAATATCCGGTTGTCCAGATCACATCCAACCATATCGCTTCAATCATTTGATTTGTGGCCTTGCCACATCATGCTGCTTATATATATTTTTTTATCTGCCTAGCCGAAAGGATGAATGAGATGTTCTTGGAAAGCTCCAACTGAAATCATTTAAAAATTCAATTATTTGCACACTTTTCCACCAAACTCAACCATTTTGCACCGAAAAATTCTCCTTTTCTGCGAAGTGGTGTACTCAACCTAGTCAGTACTCAAGTATGATCCTTTAACCGTACAGTCCATTTTGTAAGCATGAGTACAAGTGTCACTCACTGACATGTTAATGAGCTGTCAAGGCAGCTTTATTTGCAAGCTAATTAAGTTAGCGTTGTTTGGCAGCAAAGATTAGGCTGAGCACATAAACTCTTCGAATAATAAAAGAATAAAGAGCTTTTACTTTTGTTTCTTACTTCATCTTTGTCAAGAGATACCCTCTGTATCTGGTATCACCTTTAAGAGAGTAAGCGAAATGGTTCAAAGAGAAAGCAGATAATTTTTAAAGGAAGTTGAGCAAAAATCAAGCATGGGTAAGAAACAGAGATGGATAGGACACTACTCTAGCTCTCATAAAATACTCTTGGTTGGTGAGGGAGACTTCTCATTTTCTGCCTGTTTGGCTAGAGCATTTTGCTCCGCCGCGAACATGGTTGCTACGACTCTCGAATCGGAAGGTAAAATATATGGACTCCTTGGATGCACGCAACAAACAGAAAACCATTACCTTCATCTTTTTAAATTTGTTTTACATGAATTAACTAATTTTCTTGAGAACTTTTCAGATACTATATTGGTTGAGCATGGCAGCAGTGAGGCACATTTGGAGGAGTTGGAGAGAAGAGGGTGCTTGGTGTTGTATGAAGTCAACGTATATGTCATGGACCGTCATCCCACACTTAGGTCTATGAAATTTGATGTTATCATATTCAACTTTCCTCATGCAGGTCATTACCATCGGCTAGTCGAAACCGACGAGGAGCTTATAGAGTAAGTGACCAAATTTGCCTTCATCTTTTGTACCATGCCTTGTTCCGACATGCTCTCCAGTGATGCCTGTGTAACCAAAAAGACAAAACTGGTTAATGTTTATGCAATGGTGAGGCTGCAGGAGCAGTTACATAGCATAATGCCGATCCTTTAATCTCTCTCTAATCTCTATCCATATTATCATAAGCTCTTATAACTATTAGTTACTGGATTATTTTGTCGTAAGTGATTAATTTGGAGCTTCAATGGAGCTAGATTGCACAGACATTTGTTAAAAGCATTTTTCAAAAGCGCCCGCGGGATGCTTAGCAAAGGTGGTGAAATTCATGTTTCACACAGGGTAGACTACCCGTATGATCAATGGAAGTTGAAGGAGCTTGCTGAGAAAGCAGGCCTGTTTTTGAAGGAGAAAGTGCGGTTCGACAAATCGGACTACCCTGGCTACCACAATAAGAGAGGTGGCGGCATCCAGAGCAACAAAATGTTTCCTCTAAAAAACAAGGAAAGTTACACCTTCAAATTCTCTCTCAACCGTGCAAGTTCTGAAATTTCTGTTTGTGATTCGACAACCAGCATTGTTAGTGATGTCCCTTCACCACCTGGCTATCAGGGTTACCTTTGTCCTCCAGCTCCTACAAGCCCACCCTTACGAGAGATTCTTGGGTCTGGCATCCAGACCACGAGCCGGTGCGAACCTAAGACACAAAACCCCCCGCACGACCCATCACCTCTTGTTTTGAGACCCACCACTAGCCCATGTAATGGCCCCAACCCGCCCTCGCTCTCCATGGCCCACTGCCTCCGGGTTCGGGAGGAAAGAATTTCTCCACCCTTACCTCCTTCCTGCCAAGACGATGATGAACCTCCAGCTCCCCCAACCCCACGTCCTTCACGCCAAGTAGATGATGACAACGGCTGCTGCTCAATCCTTGGAGGCTGGTATGCGCATGCTGTCCTTGTCCCAACCTAGAATACTCTTCGATGATTATCTGCAGATTAAGCATACAAACAGTGAACAGGATGAACAGCTTAGGATTTGTTGCGATTGAACTATTTTTTAATGCCATATAGGACAACTAAAATTACTTTCTGTATTCCGTTTTTCTTCCACTGCTTCACTGACCTCGGCTATCTCTTGTTTAAATTTGCAGTTTGTTTGCAATTTTTTCGCTGATGGCTGGATATTGGACGCTCACCGCTTTAGGCAATTTTTTTTGTTACTGTCGAAAGCTGGTATGACCGAGTGCAAACCTTGTGCAACTCCTCTTCTTCCAGAAGCAACAACTCAGGAGAACCTCTTGCTGATCCGTTCTTGTTTCGGAGCTTGGTAGGAGGATTGCAATATCTTACATTTAGTACTGGTTTAGGGCTGTTTTTCTTTTTTTCTAAAACATGCGGACGCATAGTGATGTCTAATGAAACTTTCTACATTCCAATAACACCTTCGTCACGGTCTCTTAACCACACCCTGCAAACTTCGATCGCCATTTCAATGGAGGCCCTTACCCGCCTATCAAAACCCTCCTCCTCCTTCTCCTACCTTTCCGCCGTTTCATGCAAGTTCCTATACTCAGGCGCCGCCCTTGAGACTACCTCTCACGGCACCTCGTCTTACAGACCCCAGCGTGTAGTGGGTCTTCCTGGGGTCGCCGTCCCCTTGCAGATTTGAACTCTTCAAATTTATCCTCAAATTCTAGATTGAAGTAAATTAACCAAAATTACAATTTCGTAAGAAAGCTACAATCGGACCCCGAGCTGTGAGAATCAGTCGGAATAGATGTGTGAGAGAGAGAGTTTGTGGGTGGTTGAGCTTGTCATCGCCGTTGGAGCCCTCCAAGTGTGATTTCGCACTTACCCGGATGAGAAAGAGAATCGTAAATCACAAAACAAGCAAAACCCAGATAAAAAACCAGAGACATCGAAGTGTCTTTGATAAGGTACTACTACTACCAAAAATTTTCTATCAAATTTGCAAATCAAATTATATGATTATAGATAATTAAATTATTAAATGAGTGTTGTTTAATGTATTTATATTTTATTATCGAAAAATTTGATATAAAAATTTAATATCTCTAACATTATACTTTAATAAATCTTAGGCCTTGTTTGACAGCTCGGACTGTAGAAACCATTTATGTCGGATATGATAAATAGCCACCGGATAGACTAACTAAATTAGTAGGGTATTTGGTGCAGTATCGGACTAATGACCGTATTATTTATACTGTGTTTGGTACTGAACAAGATAAGAAAAGGGAAGAAAAAAATTTGACAAATATGTGTTTGTTTGTTGAACTTTTCTCATATTTATACCTATTCAAAACCACACAAAATTTCAAATAACAAAGAAAAATAGTAAATTCCATACATCAAATTCAAAATATTTTCCAATAACATAAAAGAAGGTTCACAAAACACAACTACGGTCATTACGTTTTATAGATTAATCCAACCATATATCCAAGTTCACAAAATATACAAATGCAAGTTGGTTTCAGTAAGAAACAGTTTGTCCAGATAGCCAAAATCATGCATGCTGCTGCTTTGCTTTCAGTAAGAAGCAATTTGTCCAAGTACCCAAAATACATACATGCTGCAGCTTTTAACAGAAGATATGCATGCAGCATGCTGCTTTTAACAAAATATATTGTTGTTGTTTTCCAAGTACCCAAAATATGCATCACCTGCATGTATGAATAGATAACTAAAGACTATGTGCAGGTATCCATTTCACCCATTATATGACTCACAAAAGCTCATGTTTCAATAATGATAATGTAAGGAAGAAAATGACCACAACAACATATAGAAACATGAGGACCCGGTTTTTCTATTTGTACCTTTGAAGGCTTGAATGGATAATCCGGAGGGAAATGAATTGAACCTAGAAAAACAGCACCTGTGTATGGGCTATCACCAGGTCCCATAATTGTCGCTGGACAATGGAACATGTCCTCGGCCACAGGACCTATAATCCATGAAAGAGAAACCCACAAGAAGAATGTACGCCAAGTTCAGTAAAGTGATCAAAATATGCATGTACCCAAGAAACATAAGATGCATGAGCCAGCATAAGAGACCTATACAAAACCAGCTACATTGTGAGAATATCTTACCATCACTCTTTTACATCAGTTAAACCATTAAAGGAGGATCGTTTCGCTCCCAAATGGACCATCCACAAATTTGCTACATCTTTATTTCCTAATCGATAAAGCAAAGGGTTAAAATTTCAGTTTTTTTCTTTTCTGTTCAATTGATGAAAAGGGGCCAATTTTTGGCTAAAATTCTGAGCTGCGAACAGTTGAAATCGTCGAAAAAACCCCGCTAATTAGCTGCAATTAGAACTACCATATACAATTCTAAGACAATTTTATATATGGGATCCAAATTTAATAAAAAGACAAGGGATTTGTTCAAGGAAAAGGAGCAAATACCAGCGCTGCATGAGGTAGAGGGTCCTTCTGCAAATCCTTGAGCTCCTTCATGATGCGTTTAGATGCCATGACAACACCTACAAACACACACAATCACACAAAACACAACCTGAAAAACCCAACAACAAATCTAAAATTCGACCCCAACAGCAAACCCTAAAATTCGAAAATTCTAATTAAAACACAAAATTACATAATCAATTCCTTAATTAGAGAGAAAACAATAACTAGATTCAATCAATTGAAAGAAAATTACAAGAAAAATAGGAGGCGAGGGAAGAACAGAGGGAGGGGCGGAACTTGGGAAGAAGAAGAAAAATGAGAAGCTGAACTGGATTAGATGGAAAACGAAGAAGAAGAAGGCATTTGAGAAGACGAACCTGGATTCAGATGAGAAAGCAAGCGCGCGAGAGGCAGAGAGAGCGTCTGGAGAGGACGAGTGTCCGTCTGGAGAGGAAGGAGAGAGCGACTAAATCGTCCGTGGGTTTGGAGAGTATAAGGAAGCGGGTATACCGTATTTCGTATTATTAATATTATTTGGTATCTTATACGATGTGCCAAACGAGATTTTAAAGCGGAAAAATGAAGCCTTGAAATTTGCAAATTGGTTCGTAAAAGAATGTCTGATAAAGCCTGCCAAACAAAAAGATACTTGAGTATAGTTTGAGGGAAGAGGATCCTCTCCAGAGCACAAGATGGGGATCCTTCTGATCACGAAATTCGGATCGTTCAATTTTAATCCAACGATTACAATTATTATAATTTTTAAAGAATCTCCTGTTTGAAACCGTTAAATTAATTTTAAACGATCTGAATTTCGTGGTCAAGAGGATCCTCATCCTAAGCTCAGGAGAGGATCCTCTTCCTAGTTTGAGAGCCATAAAATGAAGTGTAGCAGGTCTATATGTAATGAGCTGTAAATATCCCCGCAATTGACTAAGCTCATAATCCCATCTTTCATAGTCGTAGAACACACATCGTGGTGGATGTCCATTTCATTCCCAAGCATGTTCATAAGAAAGAGTTGGTGATTTATCAGGTCTCTAGTTCCAATCAAATTGCATATATTATGAAAATGTTGTCAGTGGCGGATTTAGGATTTTAATATTAGGTAATCCCAATATAAATGGGAAAATGATCCGATTCCTTTTCCTAGGAATCCCGTAATAGTGATCGTTCATCGTACATCGTGCGATTAGTTTTCGTTAAATACAATTTATATTTAATTTTAAATTTTAAATTTTGAAATGAATTTTTACCGTACAATATACGATGATCAGTTACGATCACAGGATCCCTAGGATTCCTATGAAAAAGATCCAGCAAGGATCCTTTTTCCATATAAATGCTCTAAAAAATATTAGATGAAATATAACTTTGAAAATTTAAACGATAAGTTACAATTTTTTATTCATAATATGTGTACAAACTGATATACATTAATGGTGGTTTTAATGTTTCAATCAACATCTACCTAGCATTACTCTTCTTTTATTGTTGAAACTTTGAGATGCCATGTTTCCTGCATTAGATTTTAGAGATGCAGCATTGTATTTGCCTATTTGGTGTGGACAAGATTTTGGTGGCAGCTGGTAGGTGTAAGTCCAAGAAAAATGGTTCTCAGAAATCTGAAATTGGGCTCTGGTTTTCGATTTGGGCTTATACGGCAAAAACAAACTACACCCCCTGCATTGGCATTATTTGATTTTTAAATTTTGGCGATATTTTGAATTGCTCATTTTAATTCTAGGGTTAAGTACAAATAACAACTCAACTTCTAGAGATGATTTTAAATTGGTCTCATATTTGTAAAACATTTCAAATAATTATGTAATGTTTTAAAAATGAAGACTTGTTAGGTCACCAATATTAAATGATAACCTGGACAAGTATTGAAGAGGGATTTAACTCCCACGTCATTTATAGAGCTCTAAATTTCTAAATTGATCGCGTTTAACTAGACAAAGTTAGTGTTGACTATGGACTCCATTTGGTGAGCGTGTTTGTTTGCACTCACTAAGCCTCACAGGGCTGGCTTAGCTAAGAATATTAATCCGTGTTTGGTGCATGCCAGGACTAAGTTTAATGGGACTAGCTCAGACTCGTTCCGACTAAACCTTTCACTAGCTAGGCTTAGCGAGGCCAGACAAGAAGGATGAGATTTCTAAGACCATCGATTCGCTTCATCATTGTGCTGAGGCTTTAACTTCCTCAGTCATATTCCTCTTTGTCTTCGACAGATCCCCAACCTTCCGCCATTAAGCTTTTCTTCTTCCTCGGCTTGCAATCACAGGGATGAGACCGATCACACCTGATCAGTCAAAAATTCTAACACTAATCATTTACTGAGTGTGTATTACACCAAGAATTAATTGACAAGCAGATGAGTTTTCTAGTTGGATGTGTTGATATAGCTTAGATAGGGAAAATATACTAACCCTACACATAGGGTAGGGCTTTTCTTTAAAATCTGGGCTGGGCTTTGTTCCCGAAACTCCCCCATTTCAATAAAAAAGGCCTCGCTTTCTAAGGGCCACTCTCTGACAAAGAAATAAATGAAGTAATCTCAATTTTATGACACGATGGCTACTCTCCACATTAGTTACTTTTCTCGATTATTTGTGTGGATAAGGCCTATGTTATAGTATATAACTTCAATCATAAGGATAAATTTCTAATCGCATAGCTTCATAATAATTCTGTAAAGCTTCTTCATAATTTCCTTCGAATTGAGATTCGGTAGCTCCAGCTCTCTCACATGCCCTGCCCGAAGCTCCAGATTACGCGCCACCAACCGTCACTTCCTCCTTGAGGCCGCCAAGCGCTCCTCCAAGAAGATGTGTTCGCAAGTTTGTCGCCGATTTGCAGATCTGACAATCCGAGCCCCTGCAAAATGAAAAAAAAAAAATTGGGATTTTTCTGGGTTTGATTTGAAGGGAAAGTAAATTAAAAGAAGAGAAATATGGGTTTTAATTGAAGAGAAAACAAATGAAAAGAAGAAAGAGTTTTCTGGGTTTGATTATTAGTGGGAGCAAATCTGCGCTTTCGAATAATAGAATGCAAAGCAGAGAAGAAAAGTGGAGAGACTGGGGGAGAGAGTCAAATAAAAAAAGGGTGTATTAACAATAATAAAATATTAAAAAAATGACAAAAAAAAGTATTTTAACTCTAAAATAATTTAATCTATGATTTAGTCCAACACTGCACTAAACATTTCATTATCTTTATACTACTTAATTCATGTCAAGCCAATCCAGTTTAATTCCTGAAGTTAGTCTAGTTTGAAATAATGCGGTGCAACAAACGCACCCTAAAATGACCTGTTAGTGAAAATAGCTTCAATATTTGTTCACACCCTTACTTACCATTAATGACATCATCAATTAATGGTAGTAGTTATTTAAACATCTTTTATGGTTGTTACTTGTTCTCATATACAATGGAGTTTTGAGTTCTCTCATATTCCCTTTTGTTTTAGGACTTATCTTTATATATGAAGTCGAGGGCTTAATGAACAATATTTTTTGTGTCATAAACTTCATTAAAAAATAAATAAATAAATAAATAAAAGGACAAAAATGTCCCTCGAACAAAAAACTTCAAAAGCAACTCAAAATAATGCATCAAATGTGGCAGGGTATTTTCGTCATTTTAACAGTGTCTTTTTAATAATTAAATTTTTTTTGTACAGTTTTTTTTTTTTTAATAATTAGTACTTGACAATATGCTAGCAATAATGTGATTCAATCAGTTGTTCTTTAAATATTATTTCCTCTATTTTTAAACATGTTTAAAACATGTTAAGAGGCATGTAATACCGGTTATAAAAAAGGTCTTTCGCATGCGGATAATAATGTGATTAAATTAGTTATCAAATGATTGTTTTTTTTTAACCAACAATATTATCAACACTAAGGGAGATGGAAGTGAGCTTAGCCTCACAATGGGCTACCAATAATGTGATTTAATCAGTTATTTATTAAATATTATTTTCTATATTCTTAAGATAAATTCAATAGAAACCGATTTTATTATATGGATTTAGCTGTTTTAATTGATTTATGAGGAGTTTCTTCTAGCATAATCTAAGATGATTCATTTACTTCAAATATATGACTTTTCTTTTGTCAATTTATACATATAAATACATTTAAAACGTATAAGTCGTGCGTAGCATGTCGTGATTCAAAAAATATCTTTTGCACGTGCGTGAGCACAAGATTTGTTGTAAGAGGAGAACCACAAATAATAGAAAGATTTAAAGCCAAGTCTTTCAGACGCGTGCATGAAAGCTTGCCAAGATTCATAGTAAGAGAAGAGCCACAAATAATAGAAAGACTTGAAGCCAGGTCTTCATCAACATTTGGGCTAGTCGTTGAATAATAAACTCTATTATTATCTCTTGTTGCTATCTCCTTGCCTTGTTGTCGTACAAGTGTGTGTCAGATTTTTTAAGTATGCATGAAGTAAAAGGCATCTGCCCAGACGTCTATGTTCCTGCCCGGTCCACTTATCAGATCTCTACTTATCAGGTGTGTAGATTCTTAATATTGAAGAAATTACTGATGTACGTTGATGACTGTGAATCATTTAATTGGTACGAGATCCAATACCGTGGAGGTGAACGACGCTAGGGAATCTCGTTTTCTAACAGTTTATGATGCTTAAAATTATTTGAAATGTAAATTATTGAGTTGCCCTTTGCTTGGACGACTGTTTGTGTTGTCTAGTTTTCATGAAGATAATAATTTATTTATGTTCTTTGTTCTTGATGCAAATGACAGTGGTCTCGAGCATCTTCAAATCTGATTATCTTGGGCTTGAAGAATCAGGACCAGGAGTAAATAACAAAACCTTCTTTAATTCTTGCATGATACCAAATGACTGAAATTAAGTTTTCAATGGTGTTGTATTAAATACATATATTTATATAGTGGCGGAGCTAAAATTTTATGTGAGAATGAACTTCTCCCAAATATAAAAAAAAAATTAAAAGGAGAGTATTTACAAAATTATTTATTAACCATTTGAAAGACTTATTAAGGTTAATAGGAAAATTCTATCAATAAAAAATATAGAAACCCTAGCACTCAAGTAAGAGGTAGAGCAGAGGAGAAACCAAAACATTTATGGCCAATACTTTTATAAATCTTATTGTTTGTTGAATTGATTTGTTATTTGAGATTGACAAAATATATGAAGGGAACGAGAATAACTTTGGAGTCTCTGGATTGAACCGTAAGTAATAATGTGAGGATGGGAATGGACCATACTAATCCCTTCGTCCATTTGTCCATATATTCACATGATTTATATCTGACTGTCAGATGATTATTGTATTAAATACATCTATGTATTGTAACCAAATTCTTAATGTATAATTAAGGTCATTTATACAAATCATTACTCGTTCTGTGATTTTTTTGTTCCCCTTGATTTGTTGAAGTGTACAAATTTTGTATACAATAATCTTACCGTTCACTCCAAAAATTCCATGTCGGTTACCAGTTGTTAGAAGATACCAGTATAGCATCTTTTAAACGCTCTGGATACATATTCTATTCCAGTATAGCATTACCTCAGAGAGAAAATGCCGTTAATCAGGTATATTTTATTCAAGTGAAAATTGATAAGGCGAAAACCTTATAACTACTCATAATCATACATATATTTCCCAGACATTTACAGAATTATGTGTTCTGAAAGGTAATGTGTGCTTGTGTGTTTCTGATAGAGGAAGAGAAAGATGAAGCAGGTTTACAGAAGATATCAAAATTCTATTGTGTTTGCTATGGCTTCCGTTGCTATAGTTTATATGGTTGTGAGTCTTGTGACAAATGGTTCGAAAGGAACGTCTTGGTTTAATTTTTCGCCGTCTCAATTTCCATGGTTGGGTACCGGCGTGGATATGATTTCTGGTTCCACATTCAGAATCAACTATAGTTCATCATACAAGGTATTCTACTTATTCAAGTTTGGTCCTTGAATTTCTGTAAAATTTCGTTATGGTGTAAACTTGTGTAACCAATTTTGTTCTTCCATTTTTTTTTTTGGGGTTGATGTTACCACTTATGTCTTGACCAATTTAATCTTGTAGGATGCAACAAGGATGAAGGGAGATGAAAACCTGAAGAAACTTGAAGCTGGTCTTGCTGCTGCTAGAGCATTGATTGGGGAAGCCATAAAAAATCCTAACCATACAACACCTCTTAAAGATGCAGATTATATACCAAAAGGCGATAATCAGTTGTTCTTGTGATGATCGTCGAGTATTTGTTTCACCCGATTATCCGTGACAAAGCTGTTCTTGAGCGCACTGTGGTTGATTACGTTCGTATCATCTCTAATAGGTATCCATACTGGAACAGAAGCCTTGGAGCTGATCATGTCATGCTTTCTTGCCATGATTGGGTAAATTTCTTACTAGTAGTACTGCGACATATCACATTGCCATATTGCTAATTTGGATCACATATTCAAACAAATATTATAGACTACTAGAATTTTTATACATGTAGACGTAGAATTAAACAGAATTTATTGATCATTACATATAATTGAATTAAGATATTGTATGAAAGTATGGTTTCACATGATCAGTTGTTCAGATCCACAGTCGAGTAACTAATTTGCTACTGGCTTTTGTATAGGGGCCAAGGGCTACATGGTATGTTAAACAACTGTACTTCGTTGCCATCCGCGTGCTATGCAATGCGAATACATCCGAGCACTTTAACCCTAAGAAAGATGCATCATTTCCTGAAATCAATCTGGAAACTGGTGAAATAACAGGTCTAATTGGCGGCTTGCATCCGTCCAAACGTACAATCCTAGCATTTTTTGCAGGGCGAATGCACGGTCGAATTAGGCCATTTCTTTTCGAGCATTGGAAAGGAAAAGACAGAGATTTACTGGTCTATGAAAAACTCCCTGAAGAGCTTTCATACCATGACATGCTGAAGAAAAGCAAGTATTGCATTTGCCCTAGTGGACATGAAGTTGCCAGCCCAAGAATTGTGGAGGCAATTTATGCGGAGTGTGTTCCAGTTTTGATATCACAACACTATGTGCTGCCTTTCAGTGATGTGCTTAACTGGGACTCGTTTTCTGTTCAAGTTTCAGTGAGTGAAATTCCAAAACTTAAAGAAATCTTAATGGAAATACCTGAAGAGCAATATAGAAGAATGCAGGAAAGAGTGAAGCAGGTGCAAAGGCATTTTGTAGTGAATAATCCTCCCAAGAGATTTGATGTTTTCCATATGATTATTCATTCAATCTGGCTTAGAAGATTGAATGTACAGATTTAGAGTTGATTTCTTTCCCAAGTTACCAAGTACATCACGATATTGTTTTAAAAAAATTTGTTTAAATACAAAGTGCAAAATGTAGCAATACCCCCTGAAGGTATTGTCCCACTTTATGAACTCTCAATTTGGTTCCGAGGCCCCCATAGACTTACATTCATGTCAATTTCCCTCTTAACTTAGTTGTGCCAATTGTTCCGTTAAATTGAGGGTTGTTTTTACTAAAGTTCTCTCTTGAAGCTTTTTATTCAAAAATTTAAAATTAGCTCTATTACACCATACCAAGTGAGAATACAGAGATAGAAAATCTGGCTGACATTTGTAACTTTTTTTTTTTTTTTTTTTGGTATTTTGGGGACTTGCTTAATATCTGACAGCCGCAACTGATCCCACTCCATCTTATATATAAAGTCAACAGCCCAGTAAACAGTGTTTTTTGGGGTCACATGCTTCACCAAAAGGAATTAGACAGAAATGCCCCTCAAACAAAAAACTTCAAAAGCAATTCAAAATAATGCATCAAATGTGGCAAGAGTATTTTCGTCATAGAAACAGTGATAAACAGTGTTTTAAATATTTAACTTGTTTCTGTACAGTGTTTTATTTATTTATTATTTCTTATAATTAATACTTCACATGCTTCACCAAAAAGAAATGGACAGCAATGCCCCTCAAACAAAAAACTTCAAAAGCAACCCAAAATAATGTATCAAATGTGGCAAGAGTATTTTCGTCATATAAACAGTGATAAACAGTGTTTTAAATATTTAACTATTTACAGTACAGTAGTAAACAGTGATAAATTGTGCTTTTAATATTTAACTTGTTCATGTACAGTGTTTTATTTATTTATTATTTCTTATAATTAATACTTCACAATGGGCTAGCAATTATGTAATTCAATCATTTGTTTATTAACTATTATTTTCTCTATTCTTAATGTAAATTCAATAGAATGTAGATCGAAATTGAAAGACCGATTTTATTATGTGGATTCAGCTCCTTTGATTGGTTTATGAGGGGTTTCTTCTAGCATGGTCTAATATTATTCATTTAAAACATGTCAGTCGTGCGTAGCACGCGTGCATGAAGGCTAATATATATAAAGCCAACAACTTGGTGAGTAGTGTTTTTGGGGTCACGGGCTTCACCAAAAAAATTTGGACAGCCATCTAACAAAAAACTTCAAAAGCAACCCAAAATAATGCGTCAAATATAGCAAGGGTATTTTCATCATATAAACAGTGTTTTTAATATTTAACTATTTATTGTACAGTGGTAAACAGTGATAAACAATGTTTTAAATATTTAACTTTTTCCTATACAGTATTTTATTTTATTTTATTATTCTTATTTTTTATAATTTGTTACACCCCGACTTAGAATGTACACTTCGACTCCGAATCGAGCTATGATGGCCGATACCAAGAGGGTGACGAAGCCATAAAGTGTAGTGATGTGGAAAATGTGTATAAATTTAAATCTAAAAGTGCCTAAATACAAGAGTGCGCTTATGAGCGGGAATAAACCTATTTCACATGTCATGTCAGAGCATAAAAAAAATATAGTAAGGTAGGATAAGAATCATACTATCGAAGGTCACCACTTATACCAAGATTTACCAAGAATCCTCATCGACACAAATGCGCAGCTACTAAACCTGGAGGGGCGAAAAACAAGGGTTAGTGGGCCTAAAAACAAAGCTTTGTAAAAACCTTTGTGAAAACATAATAACCCCTCGCCGTAAAACAAGTATAATTTCCAAAATATACATATTGCGTATAGTTAGAAAATACCTACTGTAGCCTGCAAAATCTCAAGAATTCAATACAGCACAATATTTCGTAAATAAGTACATGACGTCTGGAATAACATAATCTCGCATAAGCAAACATATCATATCGAGTACTCATCGACACATGCTGACACATGAGTTCATGTAGAGGTATTTTGACATGAACATGACTGGGTGTAACAATGATTTACGCTCTAGTATTACAATCACATAAAGATTGGCGTTATGCACAGCACATACGAGTCATAATTGCCTATAGCAATGTAGGAAATGACTGGCACCTGCAATGGATCCAAAGTGAACGTACGGTAAACCTAGCAATTTCTTACACGACACGTAAACGACAAGAAAATAATGGGTTTCGAGTCAACGCGATAACTAATCGGGTTATTATCGGGTCACACAATAATAACCCGTTAATAACGGGTCCTTAATAGGTTTACACGAGAGTGACACGTGGGTAACTTGTTTTGACACGATAAGAAAAAAGTTCTTTTGATGATTTAATTTTTTAAACTACTAAAAAAAATTTACTATAAAGTACAATAGATATAATGAATATGTATATATTGTTTATTAATTATTATTCTATATGAAATTTAAAATTTAAGTTTTGTTTATTTATTTATTTTTGTAGTATATTATAGGCAAAGATTGAGATTAAAAATCATAAAACACATTAAAAATAAAAAAAAATCAAGTAATTTAAAAATACCAAACACATTAAAAAAAATTATGATAATTAATTTACATGTGCGAAAAATATGAAAAAAATATGCAAACGCTCGTAGTCGTATCCTCTACACTTTGAGGATGGGTATATGATCATTTGAATTTTTAAAACCATACCAACTCTCATGAATAGTATTTTTAAGGGAGTTCAAAATAAACAAAATTCATAATCATTAATGTATAAGTTTGAAAGATATGAAAGCATAATAAATGTTCATAATTGCATCCTCAACGCTTAGACGATGATTACATGGTCGTTTAGATTTTTAAAACCCTCCAAATCTCATGAGTGTTTTTTTATTTGAGTGAAAAATTAATAAAATTAATAATAATTATTGTAGAAGTGTGAAATATGTAATCACTCGTAATAAAAAGCTTTACAACTTTCATGAAGGGGTCAACTCCGAAATTTAGTACTATGTTTTACATTTTTTTGGGTCAAATTATGTTTTTCATTTTCATTTTTATTGATTTAAAATATATTTTTCTTAACGGGTAAGAGGTCAGGTCATATTACCTGATAATATTAACGGGTTGATTTCGGGTCGGGTCATATTACCCGTTTACTTTAACGGGTATTACACGACACAATCCATTAAGCTATTAGGTATGACATGAAAACGACACGAACACAAAAAACACGACATGAATGCCAGGTCTAACATACAGTGCGATGTGAACATACACGTGAAAGACTGGCCTTGACTCGGGCGAGTACTAACACCGGTGCAGCAAACGATGAGCAGATAACATAAATATAGTCGTGCCACAGTAATTCGATAATTCATATCCACATAATAGTAATAAGTAAAATATTAATCATGGCTGTAATTAAAACCACATGAAAGTATGCATACTTGTGCATCCCGTAGGATTTAGGATAATTTCGTAATTTTCGCTATTTCGCTAATTCTTATAAACATTAGTCTAATATAGGCATAAGTAGGAAATTCTTTTTCAAATGTATAAATAGAAACTGAATGAATATATAATATTTAAAAGTAAAGACCCACTCACAGATACTTACAAGGCCGCATCCATTCGAGCTAGGATAGTCGGAGTCTCCGATAATAATTGCACCTAAGCATAATATTGGAACCCATTAGTAAAACTCAACCTAAACGACTAAATTTGAAAAAAAAAAAAACAAAGTGCGAATTTGGAACCAGAGCGTAAAAATACGCTAAGAGGGGTCCCGGGTAAATTTTGTAAAAAGTCAATGAAAAGTCAACAGTCAACCCTAAAAAGTCGACCGTGACGCCCCGATGGTCAACAGAAGTCGAAGTCCTTGCCTCTAGGGGCATTTTCGTCAATTCACTCATTTAAAATTAATAAATTTTAAAGTTAGGGACGGGTTGTTACATAATTAGTACCTCACAATAGACTAGCAATAATGTGATTTAATCAGTTATTTATTAACCATTATTTTCTCTATTCTTAATGTAAATTCAATAGAATGTAGAACGAAATTAAAAGACCAATTTTATTATGTGATTCAGCAAACTAATTGGTTTATCAAATTACTGATAATTTCACATTGTTAAAATCAAATGCACAAAGTGAAGTTTTCAGGCAAAATGAAGGCTCCACTTGTCTTATTCTTGAAAAGGAAATAGCTAGTTGCTTTGTCAAAATAGTTCACCATTTTGAATCGGAAAAATTCATAAAAGCATTTCAGCATTCCCTGACCACCACTGTATGATTCTGTGCAAGGAATCGAACACAAAACGTCTCGTTTTAGAATACAAACTTGAAATTCGTTTTAACTACTGAACCATCTCGTAGTGATTTAAGGTACCACTTATTCTATATAATCCAAATTTAATCATACCTTTTTCATCTACATATTGTATAAGCACTTTGTCATCATGACTCAATTACATCATCTGATATCATATCAATGGACAATGATTACCCTTCCACAAAGACGATTGTTTGAGTCCAGAAAGTAGGCCATTGATGTCTGGGAAGATATCATATCAACTTCCATGGTTTACAACTACATTAATAAAATTCTTTTTCTCAATTAAAAGAGGATAAAAAAAACATATTTATTTTCTATCACAACAAAAAAATTAAAGAAAATAATGTAATTTTACAAAATTACTTTTTTTTTTTAACTCCACCTACATGTTAGTTTATCATCTCTAATTTACAAAAAAAAAAAAAAAAAAAAAAAAAAAAAAAAAAAAAAAAAAAAACCTCTCTCCATCTCTCCTCACTCCCACGTTTTCTTTCACTCTCTCCCCCCTCTCTATTTCAATTTTAAGAACCAAAGTACAAAATTTCACATTTTATGTGTGCGCATATATTAGTAGAAATTAAGAAAATATTTGATTAATCTTGGCGATCTCCAAGATTTTGGGATTGATGTGCGGGGTTTATAAAAGTTACTTCTCGTTAAAATAGTTTTTTCAAAAAGTAGCACAATATATTAAAGCTAAAAAAATAACTTAAATCAAAACAAAATTTAGAATTCACTGATTGTAAGTTTATAAATGTTATTAAATAATATGTAATAAAAAAAACTACAAACATAACTTTCACTACATAATCAAAGTGGTTCAATCTTAAACAAACAAACAAGAAAAAAAGCTTTA